AACGTATCTAAAATGTACCTCTTTGGTTCAACATGATGCCTTTAGAGGACCTTGCAATTTCAACTCCAAGAAAATATTTGGCAGTGCCAAGATCCTTAATGGATGAAGATCATCCTTAGTCTGAATAATGTGAGTTTCAGAAGTACCAGTAAGTATAACATCATCCACATAAACAACAAGGAATAGACAGAAATCAGCACCTGGTTTGACAAAGAGACAATGATCATGAGGTGATTGTTGAAATCCATGACATTCCAGATGCTTAGTCAACTTCTGATTCCATTATCTTGAAAAAGTAATTTTGGGACGTTATTGCTGAAGACTTGCTATGCGCATGTTCTAAATTCATGAGTGGAGTGCCGCTTCCAAAAGGTATATCTAGCACCTTAATTACATTGCTGCCGAAGAAGCATTCTTTTACTACATTTTCAGACTTTAGACCTATCAGCCTTTGCACTTTCCTGAATAAGATTTTTACTAAAATCTTGACTGAGAGGATGAAGAAAGTTTTGCCAAAAATCATAACGGAGGAGCAATCGGCTTTTCTTAAAGGGCGCGATATTATAGACAATGTGGTTTTGGCGCAAGACCTTTGTCAATTTGTTACGCACAAGGCAGTGGGAAACAATGTGATCAAGTTAAGGTTTTGACCGAGTTTCGTGGAATTTTCTAGAGAAGGTTTTGCTTAAGCTAGGGTTTCCGCAGGGGTTTGTTTTGTTGGTTAAGAATAACCTCCAATGCAGCTAGTTCTCGGTGATGGTAAACGGCTCCCCAGCAGGATTTTTTAAGGCAACACGTGGAATAAAACAAGGTGATCCGTTGTCACCTTACTCATTTATCCTAGTTGCGGAGGCAATGACGAGGCGTCTAAATTTTTTGATGCATGAAGGAAAGCTAGCTGCGTATGCTACTCCGGCTGGTAGCTTGAGGGTGTCGCACTTATCCTTTGCCGATGATTTGATAATCTTTACTAGAGGGGAGAAGCGATCTCTAAGAACATTGGATGTGTTTTTCAGTGATTACAAAATAGCATCAGGCCAAAAGATGAATCGTCAAAAAAGTTTTCCTAGTTGCGGAGTCATGCCGGGCGCGAAGGATAGAGATCATCATTCATCTAGTGGTATTTTTTCAATAAAGTCGGCATTCTTGAGCCTGAGGAGACGGAATCTAGTCAACTCATAGGCAAAAAATTTTTGGCATAAATTGATTCCTCTAAGGGTGTCGTTTTTTGTTTGGAAACTCAGGAATTTGTTGGTGCCACTCCCAGAGGTTTTATGCAATTTCGGTATCCAGGTTCGGCCCTCTATTTGTTTGTTCTGTAGAATGCATGAAGAGAATATATCCCATTGCTTTTTTGGCTGCCCGGAAATAAAGTGTGTTTGGGGACATTTTGCTAATCTGTTTGACATTAAAATAGAAGCCATGGCTACATTGCTTGATTTGCTACATATGTGGTGGAATGCTGGTGATCGCTTAGCCCCGGTCATCTTCGGCACAAGAGCGCTCAATCAGTGAGCTATTACGCACTCTTTCAAGGGTGGCTGCTTCTAGGAAAATCGCTAGTAATCGCCGGTCAGCCATACGGCGGTGAATCCGTTCCCGGGCCTTGTACACACCGCCCGTCACACTATGGGAGCTGGCCATGCCCGAAGTCGTTACCTTAACCACAAGGAGGGGGATGCCGAAGGCAGGGCTAGTGACTGGAGTGAAGTCGTAACAAGGTAGCCGTACTGGAAGGTGCGGCTGGATCACCTCCTTTTCAAGGGAGAGCTAATGCTTGTTGGGTATTTTGGTTTGACACTGCTTCACACCCAAAAAAGAAGGGAGATACGTCTGAGTTAAACTTGGAGATGGAAGTCTTCTTTCCTTTCTCGACGGTGAAGTAAGACCAAGCCCATGGGCTTATTATCCTAGGTCGGAACAAAACAAGTTGATAGGATCCCCCTTTTTACGTCCCGTGTCCTCCCCCGTGTGGCGACATGGGGGCGAAAAAGGTTCCGTGGCAAAACAATCTATCATCCGCATACTCCCTTCCTTTATTCTTTGGGAGGTTTGGAAAGCTAGGAACACAATGTATTTTGATGGTATTCCGTTTGAGAAGGGGAGAGTTATTCATGATATAACTATCTTAATTCAGAACATTTTGTTTGTACATGATTTGAAGACAAGGAATGTGGAGGAAAGGGAATTCATTGATAATGCTTTTGCTATAAAGTTACAAAAAGTCCAAAGAAGGACTTGTATCTCGCTTTGTTGTAAGTCGCGGAGTAGTGAAGGCTTTGTTCTCAATACTGATGGGTCGGCTACTAGTGAAGATTCTGGCTATGGTTTTGTCATTCGATGCTTTGGTGGGAACTTCCTGTATGGAGAGCATGGGTATACTGGTGCGTGACAGTTTTGGCGCAGAGATTTATGGGCTGCTTTTTGGTGTTCGAAATGTGCTCATCTCAATTTGGATCATGTTGACATTCAAATGGACAACAAGGTGCTGGCCGATCTTTTGAGGAATCTAAAACTGATCCCTTAGAAATATTACTTTCAAATTAAGGAGATTCATAGTAGTATGGAGAGGCATTCATACTCAATTTCTCATATTTTTCGTGAAGCAAACTCGATGGCGGACAGCTAAGTCAGTCAAGGATACAAAAAGTAAATTAATTGTTAAAATTTAATGCTTATACTAGTATATACAAGTTAGGAAGTACAAGAAAAAGAATTGTACAAGAATAATAATGGTAAAAAAATTAAAAAATATTTAAAATACAGAATGACGAAAATACCCATAAACCCCAAAGAATGTGAAAAATAGTTTCCGTCACTATTCACCAACCAAAATTAATAGAATGACTTCGGATCAATTTTTGGTTTAGTACGATGAACAATGTTGGAAATGAATTTGATTGATGATCTGTGATAAAATTACCCAATAAATTCAATTACTTGTTTAGTGATTCACTCAAATTTTTCTAAAAAACCCATGACGGTTCTTATGTACATTACTACAAAGAAACTGTGTTACAAAGATCCTCAAAATTTCCCTAATAGTTCATCTTTGAAAAAGAAAATTTAAAAAAATATAGGCTCCAACAAAATAATTAAAGTCTTTTCTAAACATCAATTTGAAAAAAAAAAACTTGAAATAGACTTTTTAGAAAATAAGTAGGGCGTATTTTTCAATTTTTTGAAATAGGCTTTTTTGTCTCCGTTCGCGAGTCTAAATTCAGGTCGAGGGCGGGTTATGAAAAAATCGGGTCATGAATATAATGGAAAAACACGTTGCCTTCTCTCACTTTCTGCCCATGCCCTAGATCCGCCGCCCCTTTCTGACTCTCTCTCCTTCAGCCCTGCGGCACCAGCGATAGAAAATCTTCTAAGGGTGTGTCGGCGACGGCAAAACTCCCCAGTGACGCGACGGCGAAATAGGAGGCGACACCTTGTTCTGGTTATCTTTCTTATTCCCTTTTTTTTCTTTTTCTTTTTTTTTTGATTAGATTAGGTTTAGCTTCCGATCACTTCTAATACTTGGATTTACACTCGAATCCTTGTTACTACAATAGGGATCTGTGTATTCTTTTGTGGGTTTTATTTATTGAATCATATTCGAAGTGGGTTTGCTTTTTGTGTTGGAATTCATTGTGGCTAAGATTATGGGACCCTGTGACGGGTTTCTCTCAACTGTGTACCTTTTTATTGTTTTCTTGTATTCTTATGTGTCCGAATGGATTTTGTTGCGTCAGGAATTGTGTCTGCTCTTTTTTTACTTTGGATATAGTTCTGAGTGACGAAGGTTTAGTCTCTTTTGCTTTTGTTCTGTTTGGACTTTGGACAAGTCTACTAAGGATGATATGGACTTGGGCATGATTGATGTACAATGCAACTTTGGTGAATGTTGTAATAGAGTTTTTAGCTGCTTCTCATAGATTCAATTATTGTTCGTTTGTGGATCCAAATTGTTTATGTTATTTGATGAAATATGGCTTGGTTCTCCTCTTTATTGCATCTATAGCTTTAGGAAGGTAGAAATCAGTTTTCTTTTTCAGCTATATCTGTGAATATGGAGGTGGAACGGATGACTTGAAGCAGAAAACAATTTCTTTGAGTGGAGAATGGTAAAGATGGCAGAGTAAACTAATGAAACTCAATTAGACTTTCACGTCCATGTTTTAGCTTCCTTAATTGAATGGAAAGTACATTAAAATGCTTCTAGTTATGATGACATAGTTTATTCATTTTCTGTATGTGGATGTATGGTAAAAATTAAATCCATTTTCTGTAGGCGGATGCATGGTAAAAATTAAACTAATCCCATTGTTTATACCCTTACAGGTCTTGAAAACCATATTTAAAGTTTAAAGCAAATTATGGACTAACCATTCTGATGAAATGTGAAATGGTGCCAAAAAATTTTTGTTTTTACCTGAAATGTTCCTTCCAGTGGGCTAAGAAACAGTGAAGGGGAACAATAAGATGCAAAAGTTTTCAAAATGACTCCCAAGACTTTTTAGTTAACACATTACTTGCATGCACCTTCATTCTCTCAGGATTGCGCTGGAAGATAATCATATAGAAACATTCCATCGCCATTACAGAAGATGAAATGAGAACTGCAGTTTTAATCTTAAGTGTTGAGATAGAAAAGATAGAAGCGGTTTGCTAATTAAAGGCCAAATTGCAAGAGCTATTTATTAGTTCATAAAGTTGTTGCTAATTCAAAATTTTTATTGTTAGTTGAACTATTTATACATCAAACATGATAAAATATGCTCTTTGGATGGACTTGGATTTGTGTATCTTTCTTCCTTTTTTTTAAGGTCATTTCTTTCTTCCTATTTCAATATATTACCTCCCAAAGGGCAGAAATACATTTTGGTTTAATAATAGTTTTTCCCTATCTCTTCTTCTCTTCTATAGTTTAGAAAGCCAAATATATTTAATCTTTCGAGGCTTTGGTATAAGAATTTATACTTGACCGCAAGCTACGATTGGAAGTGACAAAGACAATGTATCTTGAAGTCGAACAGTACGCCTGCAGCTGTGGTAGGGTTAACTTATTCATATTGAGATTAGATAAGCAAAGCACTTTCGATTATGTCCAATTTTACCATTAACATAGAGTGAATTTGTTGTTTTAGGGATACAGCTGGTCAAGAGAGGTTTAGAAGTCTTATACCAAGCTACATCAAAGATTCTTCTGTTGCTGTGGTAGTCTATGACGTAGCCAGTAAGGATTGTTCTGAATTTTTGGATACAATGACCTTAATATTTAGCTTCTAAAGTTCATTTTTTTCAACAATATATTGTGCATGGTATTCAATTCTATTGTTTTGGAGACATTTGTTCACTTTTCTCTTCTTTTTTTCCTTTTCTTCCAGATACAATACTGCTTTTTCCACCTTCCTTTGATGTTTGCAGGTCGTCAATCATTTTTGAATACCTCAAAATGGATCGAATAAGTACAGACAGAAAGAGGCATTGATGTTTTTATTTTTCTTGTTGGCAACAAAGCTGATCTTGTTGATAAAAGGTCAGAGTGACTTGTATGTTTAAGCTTTATCATTTCAATACATGAGATTGTACTGTATTTTAAATCTCCTATCATGTATCTTATTAGGCAAGTCTCAATAGAAGAAGGAGATGGAAAGGCTCGTGAGTTCGCGTCATGTTCATAGAGACCAGTGCTAAAGCAGGCTTCAATCTAAAGGTCTGAAATATGATGCCTTAATAATAAATTCATGGATTCAATTCCAAGGTCATATTGCAAATTGCTTATGCGTGAGATTTGGATTTAAGCCATTAGTTCGGAAGATTGCTGCTGCCTTGCCAGGGATGGATACACTTTCATCAACAAGTCAACAAGACATGGTTGAGGTAGTTTTGAAGCGAGAGGCAAAATCGTCACAAATAGAGCAGCAAGGAGGAGGTTGTGCATGCGAGATTCATTATCTTGAGTAGTAGTAGCTTGGAAAATTTCAAACCAGATTTATGAATGCGGAAAGTGAAGTAATTTCAAAATACACAGGCTATTGATGTTCTCTTTTTATTGATTTTGAAATAGAGAGGTTGGTTTCCACTTTTTACCTTGAAGTAGATTTATAAACTCGGAAAACATTGTTATGCTACTCATTTCTATCCAATTTCTCTGATACTACTTTTTTGTTTGTATCATGTTGATTAATGTGTGGGTTTTAAGACCTCATTATCCGATGCATAAACTCTATAATTGCAAGATGAATTTTAACTATTTGGAATGTGATCTAAGGAAATGATGCATATTTTGGCTTCTTAGTACCTAGAAGTAGCAGTAGTAGCCTCCTACCAATACTATTTCCAAAAAAAAAGAAAAAAAGAAAAAGTACACAAATGGAATGCGTGTTAGAGTTTTAAATGTTGTGGAATGCGGTTGTGTTGAATGTGGAATTTAAAATGCTATGTATTTATTCCAGGTCTTATGAACAATTTGTTGTTTCTTTTGACAGTTGCACGTTTAAAAATCTCTCGATAACAATGTTTCAAACTTATTATGCATTTGATAAGTTAGAATGGTTTTAATATTATGCTTTAATTTAGTCAGAATGGTTTTAAAATTATACTCCAATTTTGATTTATTTTGGAAGATAAAGTGTGGAAAAGAAAATTTTGGAACAAGACAATTGCGAATAATAAAACAAAAATTTAGGAAAGAAAAGTGAAAAAAAAAATGAAAATGGCAATTTCTGTAAAGAATGATTTTTTAAAAAACAAATTCACAAATTATTTTGAAGAAAAAGCAATTTTAAAAAAGACTTATTCCAAATGACTTTTTAATATTTTTAATTACTAAAAGGGTTTTGAAAAATTATTTTCCAAATGAATTATTTTCCAAAAAGTATTTTTCTAAGTTTTGGTTCAAACAGACTTTTTAAAGCAACTTTTCAAAACTCTTGTCCAAATGGAGCTATAATCTCTTAGACTAAGATTCCGTCTACAAAGATTTTTCTGAAAATCCCATGACAACTCTATCTTATTCTACCTTTTATTTTATTGTAGATTATCTAATGTGAAGGTAAGGAAATGATCTCTAATCCAATTTAAAAATACCACGCATACCTTGGAAGGTCAATGAAACTATCATATTCAATAGTGTGTCCTTCAGATGCTTGTTTTGATAGTTCTTCAACCAAGCTATTTACTTCTATGAAAATATTTTGAATTCGAAAACCATTTCGCTCTAGTATGATTTTGATTTTACGCAATGATGAATGAAGTTTCCAATGAAAAACCTTGCCACAATGGAGGAGATGAACACAAAGAATTTGTAAAAGCCTTGTGCTTAACACCATCTTGACCCTTATAGAATTCCTTTGATTTCCACTGTAAGACTTACTATCATCCATATACTTACAAGCAACTCTGATGCAGCTTCCATGCTCGTCTCTGACAACATAACTCCATTTAGCCTCTCCAGGTGTTCCTAATGCAGATTCATCCGAATTCAATATAATTTCTCCAGGTTCAGGGAGCATTCAAAATAATGACTTGCTAGTTTTCTTATTCTGTTGACAAGTTTTGACTCGAAACATGTTTTCAAGTTCTTGTGCCTCAATAATGGTGGTTACACGTAGATCATGGATATATGAAACTTTTGCACCATTTGATCGCACCTCTTTTGTAATAAGATCAAAAGAAATGTCAAGCCTTCCATGATACATTTGTTATGACTGTGCCAAATCACCTATAAAATTAAAATTAGAATAATCATGATTATTGCTTTATTTGCCGACTTCTGATTCCCAACCAAGAACCAAGATTGTAGAAAAATCCATAGCCTTTCATAAGAAGGAGTTACGAAACAAAGCAAAGATGAAAAATAATTCCATACCTTTCGAACGTGGGAGAATTCCAAAAAGACATGATCAACATTTTTCTCGGAACTAAGAAAAAAGGAGCACAGCTAAGGATGCATATGAAACTCCATTTTCTGCATCATCTTTGGAAAAAGGAAAAGGTTGTTGTAAAACGCCATAAAAAGAAAGATATATTAATAGGAATAAATTTATTCCAAAAATGATTTATGATTGACATTGTATGTTTCGATACTCAAAGCTCCGAATATGCTGATGCACCGTTGAACTTTTCATTTGCAGTTGGCTTCCAAATACGCCTATCTTCTTCTAATTTTGCCGAGTCCTAGATTTTTTGTGGCACGCCTAACACCAATAGCCTAAAAATCAATGAAACCATCAGTTTAACTGTTCATAGATCCCACCCAACTCTATCACAAAATCCTCCAGACGGTGTCTTTTAGCACATTGACAAAAGTGTTCACAACTATTCTCAATTAAATACTTAGTTCTTCAATCAAATTAACACATTGACCAATTAGTATTCTCGGTGACATACTTAGTTCTCCAAATCAAATTAAGTATGTGTGGCCCGTAAAATGTCATTTGAAAAAATGTCAATTTGTTCAAAAGCATGATATTTCTTAAATTATACATTCAACATTGCTAAAAAAATACAACCATCCATCATAAATCATACATCTCCATTCTTTCCAAGTATTAAAGGTTATTCCTTCCGTCCCAAAAAAAATAGTGCACATTGAGTTTTCAAATGTGGACTATTTTTTGGGACGGTGTGTAGTATAATACAATTTTGTATTACATACAATACTAATTGAGTCCAAAATCACGTAATACACTGAAATAACCTTAACTATATCGTGAAATAACATTCACAACATTGATTAATCAAATGAAACATTAAAATCAATATATAATCATAAACTCTTAATTCAAACATTCGACTAACCGAAAACTAAACTCTTAAAACATCAATTAATCACATATAACATCAAAAGCAACATACAAACTCTAAATTATTCATGCAAACATCTTACTAATCAAAAACCAAACCCTTAAACCCTTGTATTTCATCAAGACACCGCTACTAAGAAAATAATTTCAACAAATAACCTCAACATACTGGCTAACCTCAAAGAACTGACCAATCTCTTTGGGATAACGATTTTGCAACATATAATGCGGGAATTTCTGGCCAAGATCACCAAACAACCCCCCTAAGCTTGCAATCCTCCAAGAACACAAACTTTTTAATTTGTGAAAATTATCTTCTTCTTCATTTTATGTCCTGCAACTATCAAATTTTCAAAATCCGATTAACTTAAACAAACAAATTCTAAAAATTCAAGTTTAGCTATAAATTGATGTCAAATCCATGTTTATTTTATTCGGGTTTTTTTGTGATTGATTTCTTTTCATCCAATTTATTCTAAATTCCTACCATTACCAACCAAATTAAAAAAAAAATCGAATTTCTAATGTCTGATACCGCAAAATTGGATTTTCATAATCCGATTTTCTTTTTCAAATTTCCCACTCAAAAAATTTGGTTTTTCCATATTTTAAAATTTTATACAAATTGTCGAAGTTTTCAAATCCGGTTGATATTGTTCATGTATTGACCATTTCAAATCCGATAGATATTGTTCACATAATAACAAGAAGAGAACACTCATATGTAGGTAACTTTTGGAATGAAAGCATAGGTAGGAAATGTGTCAAAGAAATGATTTAAATATCATAACAATAACATTCATTACATTATTGTTACTCTCCCAACTAATTTAGTCATAAGCGTATACTTCATTAACTCGAGTTTCATCATGAATGATACAAATTAGATGTTTATAAAATAAGTTTTCTTTGGCAACCAAACTTAAACAGGAATCAGAACCTCCTCTTAGTTACCTATAGTGGGAATACCAAACCCACATCCTATGGTCCAAACTACATGTGCAATAAAAACTAGTTCAACAAATTAATTTTATTTTATGAACTAAAAGTAGAATAAGCAGCGACTACCCACATAACACACAAATCAACAAAGATAAGGGAACCAAAATGACGAACATGTACAGAATCCTGATCTCCAAAGAGTGTATTCAACGCTCCAAAAAAAGACATACGTAATCGCACTGGATTAAAAAGGTTGCTTGTAGGCTAAAAAATATGTGTTTCATCATTCACATCTCTCTTAACTGCTGAAAATGACTTTGACCAACACGCACCATGCAAGAAGTATCATCATATTCAGCACTACTAGAAATGAAAATCAACACTATCTCTCATTGAATCACAGACTTACTTTTAAGTTCTAGTATACTCCTACTAATAAAATCTGTTTAACCATAAAATGAACTTTCAAAACGGGGAGAAAAAAAGAATTAGTAACAATTTTACTAATCAAAGCTAGCAACAATTTTCACTAGAATTGAAACCATTTTTATGATCTCCCACTGCATGTAAAACAAAGCAATGCTTGAACTTAATCAAAGGCAAAATCAAAACCCAAATTCGAGCAAAATGGAAAGAATCAAAATCAACTGTAATTGCGAAAGAAAAGAAGTATGATATCGACTCTTTTGATATTACCTCAAAGATGGAAGCTGAACTTCGAATGGAACTTTCTGAAACTCAAAGACCCACGTTGGACAAATTCCACTAGCTCCAATGTCCGACGCCCACCGTGATGCTGATTGGTGGCGGGGCTAGAACGGAGAGCCGTGGCAGGGAGTCACCGGTGAGTGAGACTTGAGAGTGTGGGCTGGATACAAACGGAAAGAACATTACTATTAAACTTAAAGAAGGTCAACACAACATAAAAAATGACACGGGGGTTCTGTATATTTCCCCAATTATTGAGGGGAAAATTGGCAATCCGACCATAGTTGTCAATACAACCCAAAAATATTTTTTATCTGATAAGTTTGTTTGAACTGTTTAAACTTTTAAATAATGTCGAACTCACGTAAAATCTATCAAACCTAATGAATTTTGATTAGTTTGGTTAATAAATAAAAACTAGATTTTTTTCCCATATAAAATCCATACTTAGATGTAAAACATTTAATTACATAGATTGTTTCTAATAAAAATAATGTTATTCAATTC